CCTGGCCCTATCACAGTACGAATGCCTCTTCTGAAGTCACTCTTGACTCTACATTTCTCCATTTTGGTGGTTCCACATGCACAAGAAGGTACTGAGCATCACTACGCAAAATAGCCAGGAAATAGATAACCCTGAGACTACTGGCACAGTAGTATATTGCAAGGTTACATTATTAAAGTCACTTAAATATTTGCTCTTTTGTACAGTAAGAGTGCTTAGCCCTTCCATTTCTCAATTAACAAAAATCTAGAAAAAGTATTGCATAAAAAGAAAAGTTTTTAAAATGTGGATACACTAAGAGCATTCAAAGAAAAATCCCACCAACATCAAGCTATAAAATCTCAGTGACACCTGGGTGACTTCCTTTGATTACAGACACCTTTGCATCTATAAGACCAATCAAAAGCAGAGCTACAGCTACTACTGAGTAGCTTTGCATTTACACTTGTAGTGTTAGCACAATAAATGTATTAACAAAAAGTAGACAATCACCATCATTCTCTTTTCACAGCAAAATGTATGCAGAAACTAGAAATTAAACCGATAATTCAGGTAACTGAGCAAATACGACAGAGCTGGAGTACTGTCTCCTGGATGTGACAGCCTTACACTGGCAAAGAACTTCAGACAGAAAATACACATCTTCTATTTCAAAAAATTGTACATTAAAAAAATCCATCCGTTACCTATTCTCAGTTGCCATGAGAGACATGGTGACTAAATCATGTTAGACAATAATACATGTGATTTAGACATGCGGCAGTGTTTTGCTTTTATTTCAGGAATAACAAGTGCTAGAACATCTGGGAAAACAGCTCATACAAGAACAATTCAGTGGTTTGGAAATACTGGAAGCAACACATCACATTTAGCCGTCAAAATGGTTATACTTGGAAAGAATTCTGGTGCTCTCAACACATTTAGAAGGTGTGAGAAATTACCTATATGTCATGTGCAAAACAAGTAACTAACACCATATGGACAATTACAGAATTTTAAAAAAATACATACAGCAGAAAAGACGTCATTAACATCAAACACTGATGGTTAAAAAAATATATTAAAAATAACACAAAAATACCCACCCCCCTCCCAAAACACAAAAAGCACATAAATTTAGCTTTAAGATGTTCTCCATTATCTCCTTCAAACTTTTACATTAATTCCAATGTGTTACTACTTGGAAGTACTTTCTGGACACAAACACTAAAACTGAGGTGATAAATCAAATGTTAAGTTATTATAATACTAAATAGCAAACCATAGTGAAATAGTACTACTTCTATTGACTTATTTTCAATAACTTCAATATTTTGGATTTTATAAATAATGATAAGAAACACCTTCCATTTATATTGTTTAAAAATAATTGAATTGCATTCTACAAATGAATTTTGCCTTCAGATCTATAGTTTTAAGATCAATTTTAAAAAGACAATGTTATAATTATAACTTAGGTTTAACAATAGCCGTCTCCTTGTTATCGAGATACCACAGACTTTCCTATTTCTATTGTGCAGTAATTATTTAATTGCTCATTTTTCAACCCTGAGGCATGAAAATTTAATTCTGTTGGTCACAACATTAAAAAGTAAATAAGGTACTGTTGTGCTGCTTCACAGTTTCTGAATTTTGAGCTAATACATAGATTCATGAGGTATGCACAAGCAAATGCTAAGATTTACACACAAAAATACTTGGAAATATAAGTCACAGACAATAATAATGGATCTCATACAAGTAACTCCACAGAATTTCTAATTTTCTTCCTATCTTGTACCAAGAGAAAAAAGCAGTCGGGCTGTTCGATTGCCACATTATTATTAAACTGTTGTAACACTGGGGTCATGAATCTGAATTCATGGAGGTATAATGAAGTAACGCTTCATGATAAAAGTTTGTCTTTTGTCTTTTTTTTTTTTTTTTTGCAATTTTTCATGAACATAAAAGGCTATGCAATCAAGTAAACCTAACTGCTGCCTTCTCTGTCTTCTTTGTCCCAGTTATGTATCCTCCAAAAATAAAGGGCAAATTCCTTTTTACATTTATCACACAACAGTATTTTTCTTTCAAGTGATCTCCCCTCTCCTTCCTAATTTCAAAATTCATCTCCAAGCTGCTACTACCCTATTAAAGGTATTTAACCAGTATCATGTGCCCTAGATTAAACAGCATAACATTTTAATCTCTGTGTACCATATAAAGAGAGTTATGTTGATTCTTCCAGCTTCTTGCCTTTTCTAAATCACTAAGGAATTTATATTAGATACCTTATAGTCATTATTCTGTGGTTGTATTTCTTTTCTTACCAACAGTACTGTTTATACACCTGCACTGGTTGCAACAGATTTAATGCATTTATTTCTTATCTGTGCAATAAAATTAGTAAATTGTACAAGGAGTTAGGTCATACTCATCAGACGGAGACAAACGGGACAAATTTATAGGGGAAAAATGCCAACTTAAACCTCCTGAAAACAAACGAACAAACAAAAAATGCAGAATTTCGATCCTAAGTGATCTCCCCTCTCCTAGAAAAAACAAAAAAACAAACAACAAAAAAACAAAAAACAGAGCATCAGTAACAACCTGGGGACTGAACCTAAATAAAGCTCCATCAAAAAGCAAACCAACTTTCTTGCATGGTCCAAGTTTGTTGGCAAAATAAGTAGAGATAAAAATAATTTAAAGAACAACCTCTTACGAGCAACTGCCCCTTTCTCTTCATCTAATCCATTTTCTTCACAGGGCCCTGGAGAAACAGTGGTAAATTGCAGCACCGCAAAATGAAGGTAGGGTGGAGGGAGGGTGAATTTTACCTTTTTCTCATTCAAATCCCTCCTACCTCCAATGTAGGAAGAATATTTTGAAAAACATGATAAACATTATTTAATGTCCTTTATTTGTCAATAATTCATTCATGTACTTTCTTCATAAAAATACTCAGCTTGTGTCCATGGTATTCTTGTCCAAATTTCAAGTTGCTCTGAGCAGGAATTAAATCCAGGAACTCTGAGTTCCTGTGTCTAGTGCTATCATCTTTGTCTCAACACAGAAAACCGAGAAGTCTTACAAAAATACAGCACTGAAAAACATGATTGCTTTTCCAAGAAAGTATTTAAAAACACTTCTGCTCCTTTTCTATGCCTCCTTGCATCATTTTAGAGTTCTTCTATTACTGTGGTACAAAATAAAGATGGTCAGGTCAGGCCACGCCCCCTCATGTCAAAATCCCTCCTCCAGGTATTTTCCAATTTTATCTCCCATCACTTGACTGCTGCATCAGACTTTTCATAATCTAGTAATGTATTGAAATTTACACTTTCTTATTTTCCCTTTGTATTTTCTATAATAGCCACTGTCCTGTCTTCTGTACTATCTTCAACCTTGAGAAAAATATGAGAAATCAGTCTCGTTCCTCTTTGCTGTGGTACAGTAGCCAAAAGGAACAATTTCAGAGCAAAATCAACTTGGGCCCCGAGCATTCCATAGAGTTCCGTTTTTTTCAACCTCCTTCCCACCCCCAGTTCCAGTCCAATTTAAAACACTAGAAACACAATATTGTGAAATTAAACCTGACAATAAGGCTCAACTATCTTATGAGATTCCCCAAAGTAGGGTAGGTTTCTCCCGAGGGCTGTGTGGATCACAAGCAGGAAGCTACTGAGGTAGAGGGATATTCAGTTGTCCCATGCATATAATACATATGTGGTCTGGTTGGTGCCCTGAAGATTTGGAAAAAAAAAAATGCCCATAGGAGAATCTTCAGAATGTAGAACAAAATCTAAAACAAAAGGCATGTCTCCAAGAACATCTCACTATATTTTTGAAGTCCCTAGTTCAAAATTTTAAAACAGAAGAGGCTCTTAACAGCTACAGCTATTTATAACATCAAATGAAAGGTGTTTCCTAAATTTACTCTCATACACAGATTAGTTTTACCGGAAGTTTTACAAAATAACAAAGAAAGTATTTGGCGTACTTTGAGTCCAGAAGTCTGGAAATCTGACAAGTTTCTGAGGAACTGGAAACAGTCTTTTACCAATTAATATCAAGTAACTGTAACTAAAACCATCAATATCAGCTCCACATCTGCATTAAGCAATCATTAAAAGCAGGTTAATGTTTAATTTTTTAGAAGTTATAAAGAAAGACTATTTACTAAATTAGTTTGAAACCTAGCTCTATATTGTCCTTCCCTCAGTGGCCATGATCACTGTCAACCCTGTAACAGAACCTATTACAGCATTATAAGGAGAGGCAGGTAGTAAATAGTAAGATGAGACGATGCTTCCTAATTTTAAAAGTATAAAACTGTTACCTGTAACAGCATGAAGTTGTAAACAATTTTGTTTGCAGAAAAAAAATAAAGGGAAGTACTCACAGATAAAATAAATCTTTTTAGTAAAAGCAGCAAAATATTCAAAATATAGTTCCTTATAAAATTGGCGTGACTATTGGCATGGTCCATTCCCAGAAACTGTATGGAGATGTGTGGATGGATAGGTGAGAGAAGAATGAAGCAATATAACCTGTTGCAAAATCAAGCTAAATGTCCAGAATCCTATATATTAGTAGATACAGATGTAAGACAGTCTTCAGATAAAAACAATAAAGAACATTTTACAATAACAGGTCACAGTGCATTTAATTCATTTTCCCTCCCCCAATCCCTGCTTACTAATATGAGAGATAGTAGATACTTCTACTATTATCTGGCACCACAGCAGTACTGTTATGAAATTCATCAGTCCGGCAATTCTGCTGTTAAGAACACTGCAAATAAAGATCCTAGCAAACAAGAAACAGTTCTTGTGAAGAGACTTACCAGGAACATATAAAGTCAGGTGATACAGATGCCACAGTTTTCTCTGTGCTTTAAAATCCTTTTAAGAATATCTAGTTTCATTTAACTGGGAAAAAGGCAGTAAAAAAAAAAAATAGAACACAAGATACAAATGCGTACAGAAACACACATTCACTCAAATGGCACTCATTGCTTTTTGTACAGTTAAGCTTTAGTGAAAATATACATCTTAAAACAAATGAAGTACAAATGTACAAAAATCCTTAAACTCAGATAAAAAATATATATAATACACTTTGCTACAGAGATATAAAACATTCAAAGTTCGCTCATCCTTTCTGATGAAGTAAAATGTTTTAAAGTCTGGAGGACTCCTGGTCATCATCACTGCAATCAGATTTAAAACAGACCTGCAAGAGAAGACAAAGTGACAATTTAGCTGCAGAACTGGCACTTTCATTGGTCTAGGTGTTTTGTGGGACAGGGAGGTGTTTGGGGTTTTGGCTCCTTTCCAGTACTTTTTGATCCATGCCAACTAAATGCTTTAGGAATATCAAAGGAAACCACAACTCAAACCTCAACTCCCTAAAACTCTGTTTAACCTTAGGTTCTTACTAGGTTCTAATGACTTCATAGGGCAATTAACTGCAATCTTAATATTTCAAAAGCAACTGAGGGCTCTTCAGCCATATTAAACTTTTAAAAGACATTTTCTGAATAAAAAAACGCTGCATCTCAGAACAGTATTGGACCAAACTCTGATGATACAGCATGACGGGACTACAATAAGACAGTTTTAACCGTAGCTGTGCACGTTATTAGTACCTATTTCATTTCTGTAAATGGGAAAAAGTGAAATCAGAAAGGCAAACTAAAAATGGCAGTATTGTTATTCATTCCATTAGCAACATAACATTTTTCATGGAGGGACTACCAGCTGATAACAAAAATTACCATCATGCAATTTTAATACATGGCTCTGCTTGGCTACTTAAGGATACACTCCTAGCAATTTTAAATAATTACATTTCTACTTCTAAAGAAAAGTAATTTATTTACTGGAATATAATTATGCATCTCAAGATAATTCCACTAAGTGCAGGCATATAGAGCAAGAACAACTGTGTATGACATCTCAGCTGGAACAAAAAAGAACCCCCCTAATGAACAGCATATTTCTCATTGTCTCTAAGTATGCTGTCTCTCATGCCTTTTAGGTAGCTTTTTTTTTTCCCCCTCCTCCTCTTTTTTTTTTTTTTTTGCATTCAGTTCTTAGACCTCTAAATGTTTATCAAGAAATACAAGCTATGCACGTATGAGAAGGCTGTGCATTAACAAAAAAACCCTATGTCTTTGCCCCCAGATAACAACTAGGTGATAGAAAAGCAAGACAGAATGCTGAGTAAGGAAAAAGTGACTATGGGAATGTACAGGTGGGCTACAGACTCCTGCAAATGTAGGAACTGGCAGTTTCTGAAAAGGCAAAGGCAGAATAAAGCAGATGCCATTCGTTTCAGTAATCAGAAAACAACTTTCCTCCCCATGATAATTTTTTTTAAATGTTAAAATTGGTGTTAAACTTTTATTGGTAATTTTCTTGGAAGAGAAGTATCCTTACCTCCCCACTGAAAAGTCTGTGAAAGAAGCCTCTCTTGGGTTTAGGAGACCTCTCTCTGTCTGGTGACACAGTACCATCAGTTTCATATGCATTGATATCTTCAAAGCATCCTGTTTCAATCATCTGTGAAAAGATACAAAATACAAATGAAGGAAAACACAAGCCCCTCAGATAGGTTCCATTTATCATCCATTTACTCCGTCTGGGTACTCCTAACAACTTACAAATATATATGTTACATCTTTATGCTTCTCAAACTATACCCCTCACAGACCTACACTGAGGAAGGCTGAAAGTTTGTACTAAACCTTCTCATGCACATCCAAAAAAATGAAGAGCACTATCATGAAAGCAAGCACTAAGATGGCCCTTCGCTTTAGTAAGGCATTTCTACAGCTCATGGTGCAATAAGCAGAAGCTTTTTAGAACCAGAATTGAATTTAGTATGTGCCCTGATAAATATCAGATTCTCTTCTCTTATATTCTGTTGATTTCAGAACGATCTCATATAATAAATACGAATATGGTTATTTATAAACTGGACTGAACTTTATTAATAAACATGACATTGAGCAAGAAGAATGATTATCTATGCAGAATCCTAGATTGCTCATTCATTATTCACATGAAAAAGTCTTAAGACAGAGTTTGATTTAACCGATGTTGAAGAGAATAGTCTGGTAATCTTAGAAAAGGTGAATCTTCAGTTCTGTACTACATACCATGCAGATATTCTGTTAGTACCCCAGGATTAAACACTAAAGCAGCAGCTAGCTATTGGCTTTTGCATTTATCCACCTCCTATGAACAACAATACTCAGTATCATGACACAAGGAAAATACGGTCATACGGCATACAGAATGCATCTGTATGAGGCTGCCACATTCCATTTTGTGCATTTTCAGGGTAGCCCTATTTTTTAGCTAGCTGTTAATAGTTTTGTTCCCTTCCTTGGCTTTTTTTTTTTTTTTTTTTTCCCCTCTCAAGTTCCTTGGCATAGACATCTAAAGCAGAAACTTCTTCAGGTGTCTTTCTGAGAAAGAGAACACTGTAATTATATCCCTCATTAACTCTTATTGTTGTGCAAAAAAATGAATAACGTTTGAAATACACAATACCTCATTTTGCCAAGGGATTGAGACACAACCCGTAACAAATTTGGAGTAGAAGTCATCATCTGTAGTATCCAGGTTCACTCCTTTTACTGTTGAGAACTGTTCTATGTCCAGCACATCTTTACAATACACCGCACGTGGCTGCAGTACAATACAAGATGGCTTCATTAAGTCCCCACCCTGCAAACCCACAGATGAGCATTCATCCAGATGGGCAAGATTTCTGCAATTTTATATTTCACACTGCTTGCTGATCACTAAATTAAACGATTGTACAGAGCATTAATGCAAAAGCTTAAAGTACCTTGTGGTAAGGCACCTGAGAAATTCAAAGCATCCTGCAGATGTAGAAAAAGCATAAAGTTTACTCTCCAGACATCTTAGTGGATGTCCAATTTCATTTGTCCTTCGTCATCCTTCTTTCAACTCCACAGCGACGTGTTCAAGGCTAATTTTCATCAGCATCTGATCTGGGAAAGTAGAGTTCTAAAGGCTAAGAAAACACCTAAAATGCCCTATAAAGCAATATCACTACTGCAAACTGTTTTTCTTGGGCTTTCTCAGACAAAAGGGCACAAATCACCTAGCCTTCATGGGCTTACATGGCATTCTGCTGCCAGTTAGCTATCTTCTAAGGTTTCTCTGGAGTTCCTGAGATTACTAATACAACATTCTTACAGTTCACGCCATTGTAGATACTAATCAAATCTGTCTCACCTACTTACATCTGGCAAGAACGGAGGTTCTAACATGTTAGCTTCCAGCCTCTTGAAGTTAATATTCTTGAAAATAGGATGTTGTTTTACAATAGCAGCTCCACCTTCAGTGCAACCCAGCCTATCCCCTGGATTTTTGGCAAGTAACTGCAAAGATGAGAATAAAAAGGCTATGATACCATCCCACAGTCCAAAAAGATAAATCTATATACAGACTCTTTCAATATAAAAAAGTTTACGTTGTTACTTGGCCTTTTGTAAGATTAATTTTATCATGCTATCAAAATGAACTGAAAATCCAAACTATAACAGTCTGGGAGCATAAGGATTTTCAGTATCCACACAAACAAAAACCTGGTATGAGTCAGGGGAGAAATATCCCCCCTGAGCAGCAGACCATTACTTATTCAGGAATTAAAGATTATATCCAAAGATATGTGAGAACATTTTAAATGCCAGACTGAACAGATTTTGCAGTATATTAAACTTTGTTTTCATGAAATACAGATTTATGTTTATTTTGATGGGCTTAAATAATCTACATATTTTTCATAAAATAATAATAAAAAATATACCCTTTTGGTAGAGGTGTGTTACCTATAACAAGCTGCTGTCTTGTACAGTCTTTAAGACAAGAGAACTATTAGACTACTCTGCCCTGTCTCTTTATGCAGTATCAAAGTTGAGTTCTATTGTGTTATGATCCTGTGTGGTACAAATCATTATTGCATGTAAAACACAGCATTTTTCACATGAGAAAATATACAGCCTTTCTTCAACTTGAAAAAAGGTCTAGATTCCCCAAGTTTGTTAACATAACTGAACAATTAATGGCTTCTCACAAATTCCCATCTGAAATAGGGCAACATTTAAGAACTCTTACTCTGCATCGCCCCAGCTTTTTCAACAGAAGATGTTAAAATAAAACAGTTCAGCTCTTAGAAAGGACTAGAAATTTAATTTTCAAACCTCTACGGCTCTTCACCCACCATCCTGCAGATGGATTTTGCCTCCTCTGAGAACTTGTCTGAATATGTTTCCTGGTCTTCCTTTACTCTCCGGTCAATTTCATCCCGTTTGACCCTTTCCTTATGCTTCCTGAATGGAGACTGTCCTTCAATCATTTCATAAATCAAGCACCCAAGACCCCACCAATCAGGGCTGAAGGTATACTTCTCATTTTTGAGCACTTCTGGAGCTAAAAACAAACAAACAAAAATCCCATGATAATTTATTTTCAATTGATTAATGTTGAAAAACTCCCACATACTCTTTTGGCACTGTGCAAAGATTTTGTATCCTGTGGAAGTGCTAATTTCTACAGTGCCATGTACTATAGTAGTACAGCAGAAGCAATGAAGTTCTTCAGGGTTCAAGATCCATATTGCTTACAAACTGAGAATGGAACTTTTCCAAAGTATCAAGAAAAATCCAAGCGTCAGCATCATACGAAATATGCTGCTTATCTGTGACACCAAGTTTCCCTGAATTCCAACAGAAATTAAGTGCTTTCTTAAATTTCTAACTAAAGTGAACTTTTCCAAAGTTAATTTAGAGTTTAAACAGAATGTTGTCAAATCACAGCTATCAGCACATAGCACAACTTTTCTTCACATGGAAGGTCTAACAACTAATCCAGATCCAACAGAGTTCTTTGCAGAAGCCATTCACACATTCATAGCAGTTTGCTGGTGAAACCCAAATAAAGATATTTTTACATACCCATGTAACCAACAGTCCCGACCCGCCCTCGGACCGTTTCTCCTTCTGGAATCTGCACAGCTAATCCAAGATCTGAAATTCTGATATGTCCTATTTATGTTAAAACAAATTATAGATAGTCAGAAAATAATAAAACATCATCACTTTTTAAATAATTTCTCTAGCATGCCTCATCAAAAATAACCCAATGCATTAAAACTTTCAGACACTACAGAAGACTAAATTAACTTAACTAGAAAGGAGAGATTTAACAGTACTTCCCCCATGTTTTTTGTTTGTTTGTTTTAAAGAAGGAAGGGAAGATAAGCACAGATCTATCAACTGATTTTCTGAAGGTCACAGAAAGATTCACTGTCAAACATTCTATTCCTAGCTATGCCATAGGCTGTGATTCTAGGTCGAATAGGAATTACGACTGCTCATTTCAAGTTCTGTATTTAAGCACCAGGCAGTTTTTCATTCTGTATTCCTCTAAACCCAAACATTCAGCTTTCTGAGATCCTAAAAGAACATCAGCAGTTATTCCATGTATTCCTCACAGGAGGAAACTGGAGTCTGTTCCAAGTCTCTTTTTTGCAGAACCTCTAATAATGATGAATGCAAGTTAGAACTGTTATCCCCAAGCCTCTCAAAAAGAACCTATTTAGATTTATTTATTTGTGAGCTATCAGTTCCATATTAGGATTTTCGCTTCTCATGAACCACTGAGGTAGATAACCTCAACTTTTATTTCACTTTCTAAGTGGTAACTTCCCAGCTTGACTACTTCTCCTATTACACACACGTTTTCAGTAGCTCCTGTAATGCAGGAGCAGTCTGGTAGAAGACTCAGTGTGAACTTGTGTGTGAATTGGTTCAGTGTGAACATTAATGGTGACACAGGAAGAACCCATGAAGAGCAATGACAACAGGCGCTATAGCTTCCCACCAACACTTATATTGCCATACACAGATACAGCTTATTGCTCAACAGACTCAAAAGAATTTAAAGCAGTAATTTAATCTTATATGAGTCTAATGCAAAAATACGTAAACCTACTACTGGATTTTAAAACTGAAAACCTACCAATCAGCTCTAGCAACAAGACTCAGGGGAAAAATGCATACTTCTCATAATGAGTATGAGGACAGGGATACCGGTGTTGACAGAATCCTCATGAGTCACAGAATAGTTTAGGCTGGGAGGGACCTCAGGAGGGCTCAGTCAAACCTCCTGATCAAGCAGGGTCAGCTATTAAAGATATCCAAAGTGCTTAGGAGTTGGGTTTTTGTTTTTTTTTTTGTTTTTTTTTTTTCTCTCTCTCCTCCTTTTAGGTCTAGAAAGCATTGAAGGATGGAGACTGCACAGCTATGGTGGTGGGTAGCCTGTTCCACTGCTGGACTGTCCTTTGCACATACTGCCTCTTTATTTCAGAAGGCTTTGCAAGATGCTGCCGGCTAACAGTATATTGATTCCTACTTCAAATTGCAGAACCATAGGGCTGGGAAGCAGGGAGAGATAAGATAAAGCTACGTTCCACTCTGTATGCTGTTTGGAAATAACTAAATACTCGAGTGCCAAATGCATTAAATGCATTTGGATGCTCTTCTATTCTCTGACATCTGATGAACCCCTCTCAAGTGCAGGATCTGAGCTCCTGAAGTGATTTTCCAATTAGCCCCCTCTGCTCTCTGGAACAAGATCAGAATGTCCCTGGCAGGAAGAAGGCATTCTAGTGCAATTGTGTAAGCCTACATTTCTTCCTCAAAAAAAGCCCTCAACATTTTTTGAGACATTATTGGGAAAATAAAGATTGCATTTAATATCTAGCAAGTTACGTAGAAGTTTTAGTCATGTTAAATCAGGGGCGCAGTAGAAGGGGGAAGGAAGGAGCCTTTTTAAAGAAGGAAATCAACCCCCTCAGTACCTCTTTTTCCGTCCTTCATCTTTCCTGTTCCCTCCTCTCCCCCTTCCCTCAAAAATGTTTTCTACTACTCTCTTTGAGAAGAAGCAAGAGATTTTCCCCTTTCCTAATTCAAATACACTAAAATGTTAGTATTTGCAATAAAATAAAAGTTTACCTACCACAGTCATCAAGGAGTATATTTTCAGGTTTCAAGTCTCTACAAATAAAACAGAACCAAAAAAGCCCATTATCCCAAGGCCAAATTACCAGCCATCATCCATCTTCCATCAATAAGAGGTGCAGCATTTGTAAAACTGAGAATCAATCTACAGTTGATCCATGAAACTCTCCAAATGTAATTTTCCCAACTCTCTATCCTCTTTCCATTATATTTAGGATGGCAATTCGTATTCCACAGATAATAAACCTCCTCTACACAACGTAGAAATTTGATGGGAAGAACAGCCAGCTTATGCCCACACGTGTCCTACACGCGCAGAGAGAGGACGTGAAAGTCCACGCCAGTCAGCACTTGCTGCGGTTTGATGATGACCTCCTGCATGCTGAGGTATTATTTATTTAAACCTAGCCCTCGCCTTGAGCATTCACCTTCTAATGGTTATTAAGCCATTGTTTCCAGTTAGAATTATTTGCAGTCAACTTTTGGTTAAGAACATCTAGAATTTTCCTGCTTTCGGTCTTGGGTGGAATATTCTTTTTTTATTAAAAACTAGCAAGACTCAGGAAACAGTCAAAATTCAATACTGCAGTGCTGAATTTTGTAAATTAAAAATATTTGAGATTATTTTTAAGAAAAAATGAAACAAAAAAAGAACAAATATGTTAGGACAGGATCAGAATTCCTCTCACTACGGTAATTTGGGTACCCACTGAAGCTGACCAAGAAGTTCTTCAGAAGTCACTTCTAGGATTTACCCTCAGACTTTATTCAGAACATACAGTGAATAATTTTTTTATATGTTTTAGGAAACTGTGACATGCATTACAGTGTATGGGCTGTGATTACAGTCTCTAAGATTTTTCTACCATTTATAACGAGGTCAGACAAACCATACTTTTCTCATCTCTCTGCCTTATTTACATTATATTTCCTAAGCAATGCATATTTCATATGTAGAAGACTTCTACATATAATAATATACATTTTAAAAAGCCGTATTTGAGCATATTTACATTTAAAAATAATTCATATAAAAGCATAAAACACTAAGTAGCAGAAGCAGCAGTTTTAGGAAGAATGACTCTAGGGTTTACACATTAACAATGGGAAGGAAATATATACATATTTTCAATACATACCATTATTACCAATACATACAGATTTTTTGTTCACAAACATATGCATGTGTATGTTTGCCTCCCCACAACTGAAAATTGATAAATCCATATATTGAACTATGAGTAAGCATGTGGAAGTTTTATTTCTTCATGAGATTAACTGTACAAAGAAGTCAACAAAATGCTTTCTTCCAAATACTTTTAGAGGCTAAAAAGTACGCATATTATTATTTGCTTAACTTTAGATGTAAGATTACAATATCATGAAAGACAAGAGAAATTAAAATCAAAAAAGCGTCCAAGAGAAAGTTAAGAAAATTTAACTCAATTTACTGAAAGCTTAGGCAGAAATTTATATACTCAGGTTAAATCAAGTAAAAAATAAAAATAAAAAAAATTAAAAAAAATAAAGGCAGACTGCCAACTCCAACATAACTGACTGAAGCCTAGCATGACACTTTATAGCAATAACTGCTCCTTAACGGAAGCTAAATTCCATTCTGGCAAGATTTTAGGCAATCAACAATCTGTCATAATCTGTCTGTTAAAGACATTGTAGCCAAAATTCCAGCTGTTGAATGTAATGAGTTTTGAGGCCTAGTGGTTCGCAAGATGTCAGCTTTGGGAACAGGCAAGAGTCTGGCTCTAGCTGAACTTTCGGATGGTGATTTGGCCTTCTCCCCACCTGCCACCAAGCCGTGGCCAGAGGCAGAATTCCTTCTGGGACACGTGCACTCCAGCCCTGGGCTCTGCAAGTCGGCAACAGGTAACAAACTACAGCTACTAACCTAGTCCTAGCCAGGGTGATTTGGTTTTCCTTCTTGAAGGAGAAAACAGGAAGGGATTACAGAGGGCACAAAACTAAGAGCTTATTAAAATAAATAGATTTAAATATATACATTAAAATAAGTAATTTAAATATATATATACTTTATTTAAAATTAATATAAAATAAACACACTGTGTGTTTCATTCATTTTTCCCTATAGCTTACACCAGCTATTCTACACAGAAAGCTTCTGGATAAAAAGTTCTGCAATAAGCAACAGCTTTTGGATTAACCAAAAGTATTACTGCGGTTTACACATTTATTGGAGACTACCTCTTCAAATAGCTTAACTGAAAAATGTCATCTTCCTTCAGAAGTCAAGCCTCTGAATTCCAGTAGAAAAGCTTTGGCATTAAGAGATGTTTTCTGAAGCCAGGCATCTGTTCCCTGCTCTGTCCCTCCCATCCAAATCCTGCTTTTGCTCTACGGGTGAGCAGACTCAGGATGCAATAGATGGATGGACAGCTCCACCATTCTCCGCTCCTGGTTGCCTGTGCATGCAGCTGCCAGTGGCATGTGGCAAAACTACGGATCGTTTCACAGGGTGCTCTGGCCACGTGAACCAGCTCTTTGTCCACAGCGCCAGCATGGGGCTCTCAGCCCAGCTCCGTGCCCGACCCTGCACAGCCACCTCGCCTCAAGTCCCATGCTCAAAATGGCCGCCACGCTCCTATGGCCTCCTCGAAATAGCAGGAACACTGACACTTGGAACGCATGATAAAAGCTGGAGTTAAAGGTGAGGAAAACTAGGCCTAGCTTTTCCTCTTTGAGCGACTTGTTTCCATGTCCTAAATATATCCATTAACACGACTGACTCGCACTGCCCTTCCAGAACCTCTAGCTCCCGCTACCCTCTGCACTGAGGGCTTCTGCTGCAGGAGACCCCAGAGCCCCTTCCTCCACTGCCCTTAGAAACACACTGTGTGTTTCATTCATACTTATGCTTATGCTTTGAATACATACATGGATAGTCACAAAACATGTTTCATTAGGGAAATTTATAATGGCTTCCTATACGCAAAGTCATTTGAGTAGAGAGAATTCAAACAATTCTTGAGCAATGGCAACAAGAACCAGTTTCAATTTCAGAAATTCTGTGAGTCTGCAAGAACTAAGTGTGTTCAAGCTGACAGCAACAGGAGAAAAACATTCTGTGAAGAAGAAAAATACAAAAGGAATGAAAAATAAATCTATTCATACTTAGTTAGGGAAAACAAAAAAAAACAAAAAAAAAACAACAAAAAAAAAACACACAAAAACAAAACTCTCCAGTAGCAGGAAAGGTACTTCAGATTTCTCCCCCTCAGACAACCACCAGCATTAATGACCTCAGATTACCATAACTATGTTAGTATGCATAAAAGGATTATGGCCAATTTCCCAAGTTTTCTGGCTCACATATGCACTCCATTGCTCGCTAGGTACACCTGCATTAAATGCATTAAGGTACTTAAAATAGAATTTGGACCGTGTAACATATAACTTATTAATGATATTCCAAAGACTCCTATAACGACCCGCTTAGGCTTCCTGATAGTAGAACTCTACAGTTTGACAAGTACATTACGAAAGGTGTTATACAGAAAACATGCGTATGGAAAAAACAAATCTCACAGAAAAACAGTCTCACCAAAGCAAGAGACAGTAGAGGATTGCTTTGCAAAGAGTTGCTTATTCTATATTAAAAAGAGAGCAAGGTCAAAAGTGAGGACGAAATTATCCAAACATATTCTAGTTTTATTCCTCAAGTATAGATGACCTGCCACTATGATTACAAGTCTCATTGTTCAATTTTTCATCTATTTACATATTAAGCCGTCCTAGTAAGTCTTCTTTGGTACTATTTAAATATTGATGTAATTCCTTCGGGTATTACAATTAAATTCAAGCCTTTCCTCCCTAAGCACACAAATTATTTGATTACTAGTATATGTAACTGTCTCTCTCACTCCTTTATTTCATTATGAACAGAAACTATAATTTCCATTTATTTCATTAAGATGCCATTTATTCAGAGTTACCTGTGAAACTACTTATTGTTTTGCTTGCTCCTAACACTACTTGTTTAAGATCACCCAGGAGCTGGAGACCTATTAAAAAAATCCTAGTAGAGAAGACCACGTAAATTAGACAATACAAAGTGACACCCCAGAAGATACCAACACTACTCCAGACTGTGGAATTCTGGATAGAAACTGCTAGGATTCAATACATACGTTTGAATGTCTTGTAGGATGCAAGCTGTGTTTAAACACAAAGGCTATTTACTGCAATCACTTTTGCTTTCACTTGGGCCAAAGTGAAACAACTTACAATATAAGTAATATAAGAATTAGAATAGGTGGCGTCAGAAAAGAAGGTATTAGAAAAGAGGACGAGTCCATGTGATTATTAATAGGATGATTTTTTTAGATAAGCTAGAGATGTCTAGTCCATGTCCGTGACTTTCTGCGAGATTAATGTGTGTATCTGTGCCTTTTCCCCTCACCAATATAGAGGGCTAAGCCTCATTAAAGTTATGCAAAATTTTATTTGACATCTACTTTAACTATAATTGATGAGTAGTACTTTGTACCATAAATACAGAGAGACAGCATTCCTGATCTACCACTAAGTTTGTTTTATCAGTTTTTTAATATTTAATATTGTAAATAGTGTATGACCAAAAATAATATATAACAACAATAGAGAGCAATAAGGATTACCAGAAAGATTTTACTCTCCTAAGGGTAACAAGCAATGCAGCAAGGGATGTCCATAGCCTTCTGTGAACTTCTTCAGACAGAAAGGAGTGGAATCCTATGTGTTCATTTGTTTGCTAATTAGTTTGCTTTGTAAATCATATTTTTCTATTGCTTCTCAAACAAACTTTGAATCATCTCAATAACATTTTAAAATAAAGGAAGTATCTACACCTAAATTAACTCTAAGATAAGTAAAAGCAGTGTTTCCAAAAGAGATGTCAGGAAGAGGAATACTGAAAGGCTTTGTGCATTTTAAAACCAAGTCTATCAGATAACTCTATTTATATTAAATAGAAGATAATTCACACTTAATAGGTTGAAAAGACATGGAAATTTTAAAGCATGTTACAGCAGATAGTACCCACCTGTAAACAATTCTTTCCCTTTGCAAATCCTCCAGACCACAGCACAACTCCGCAGCATAGAAAATAGCCCTTTCTTCATCAAATCCGGGATTCCCCATGTTATATATGTGAAACTTCAGATCTCCTCCATTCATTATGGTTAATACTAAACACAGGGCATCTTTTGTCTCATAGGTGTAGGACAAACTAACCTAAAAAGGGGCAGGGGGAAAGATAGCCACTTTTCACTCACACACCAAATAAAATGCAACACTCAAACCACAGTACAATTCACAGTTCCTTATCCAGTACAACAATATATTAACTTTCTTATAAAGCCAGTGAAGAATCACTGCTGTGCACTGAGACTTTGCTTTGAATTACCTGCCTTCCAAAGGAGAATTGTGAGCTCAAAGCAAAATATTTTTACAACAGTAGATTAAAATACAAAATTTAACATGTTGACTAAATTATAAAATCATTTTTAATTTAAGAAGTTATATTGTTGAATATATACTAGAATCTTAAAAATTACCTGAACAGTCTAACTTGTACTGAAAGCAATGGGATTTAAACACACACTTAACTTCCATTTCTTAAGTAAGAACCAAACCACCATGATTTTTTCTTATGACTTAGCAGATGTATTTAAATGCAGCATAAGAACATAGAGGCCATAACTCATTAATAATGCCAAGCTTTTCCTTCAGAACTATAAATGCCATAACAAATAAACAAACAGTTACTTTCAGCAAGGTTTCCCATTTAGTGATTCAAACCAGTTGGGTTTTATATTGATCCGTCCAGCTATTAATGAATTCAGTTGTGCCACATGTGAAAAATAATCTATGCGCTTCCAGACCAGTTTTACTGCAGATCTTAGATCTAGATCTTCTGTTGCATTGATAGAAGACTGAACAGCTAAGGAAAAGACTTATGTACACCACTGTGAAGTTATAGTGAATTAAAGGTTGCTGAATTATTATAGTACTTATTATAAGTTAAAAGAATATTACTAAGAACTGAACTTCCACTTATGAGTATCTCATATCTCTCAACAGCTAGTAATTTCTGGAAAGAAATTCAAGCCTCATGAAAAAAGAGCAGTAGCATACTTGTATAAAAATATTATTTATGTCTGCTTAATATATTAATGCATGTGGACAACAGGTATTTCATTCTTCTTTTTAGCCGGCAACATTATGAAGCTTTTGTACTTTTTTTTTTTTTTAAATACATAAAGTTTAAACAATTTTAGTTTTTAAACTAGCCTCTAATAACCTCCCAACCATATACTTTAGGTTTTCTGTTACCATTCAGAAAAATTTTAAAAATTCATTTACAATTGACTTTTAATCGACAACAATCCAGTGCAGGAGATAAACGTTTCTCCAGATAATGTCTACATGGTATACATACTCTTTGATCTTTCTAAGCTATTACATTTGCTGCTTAGCAATTAGAGTTATTAACAGAGTATAAAATATGTGATAGTATCAGACAAAACTGTTAAGACTAAAATTTTAAGTCTGTTGGATTTCTGTTAAAAGATATGGTAATTGTTTCATACCCAATATACCTCTTTCAAGCCTAGTTCACAGCAAAGCAGTGTAACTAACCTAAATTGAAACAGTAGTCACTTTTCATGTTTATCTTGACATGCATAAGCACTACAGCAATGAATGATATCAAAATACCTAAAGAGATAAAAGACTTAATATTAGAAAAAGTCAAAGAAACTCAGGATAGTAACTTCTAATGGCAATTATATTGCAGACCTCCCATGAAGTCAGTCCTTTAGAAGTTCATTTATGAATTCTTCCAAAGATGAAGTTCAAAATCAGTGTTTACTGTAAGAAAGTAAGTACATTGAAGTGGAGTAGGAAGTAAGAGGAGAAAACAGAGTAAGGGACTAGAAGAAGAGATAAAGAAAAATCTGAAGAAGAGGAAGAAAAAAAAACAGGATAGAATGAGATATATAGAATACCCTCTTTACTAAGCTTAAGCAACCATACTCATTCATAGGCTGGGGTAGAATTCAAGTTATTATTCGAGTCTAAGTAGTGTAGAATAATCTATCCACCTTTAAACAGATGACAAAGATTCAGCGGTATCTGCATCCTGAAATAGAATCTAACAATTTGGTTAAAAGAAAGAAATAAAAACTGTCGGGCTAGAACCAATTCAACAGAGGACGTAAAAACCCTCTGCTAAGAGCTGTTTGAATTTGCATACAGGATATACTATTCTTTACTTTCATCATTTCTCCTAGCAGTCACATACTCTTTTAATCCAACCACAAAATGTCTTTTGCCCATGAGCTCCTGGAAGAAACTGAAATGAAGCAAACGATGGGGAACAAACTTCACCAAACAAGATCAGGAGGAGATACTTACTACAAACCTACTATTCACTTTTTCTAGAATTCTTTTTTCATTTAAAGCCATTGATTCTCCTTTCCTCTTCTTTATTCTCTTTTTTTCTAGCTTTTTACAAGCATACATTTTTCCTGTTGCCCGCACTTGACAGGCACACACCTAGAAAAGGAAAGGCGTGTCAGAGGCTTTTTTTTTAAAAAAAAAAAAAAAAAAGAAGATAAAATCTTATTTTCCTTTTTTTTTTCCCTTCTTCAAACTCTTAAATGCTCTCAGAAAAAAATGAGTCTAGAAGAACCAATACACAGCATTCAACCCAAAACAACTTAAGAGGGCCACAAAAGCTAAAATAGAAAAAACGATTACACAGGAGGAAACCCATTTTTGCTAGGGTTGAATGGTTTTAGTAAAACTGTGTACCTTGCACTGGTGAAATATCTGCAGTGTGTATGTCTAAACAAACAAGGCAGAGGACAAACATCCACATTATAATGAAGTTGGATAATGATAACAATGTTTTAACCTCTATACAGCTTCAGTACAGGCATGCAATTAAAATAGTTTGTTTAAATAAACAGTGAACCATAAGCACAATGAAATAAATCAAAGATTTTCATATCAAGTTCGTGAATATTCTACATATTAAGTAAAAATAAAAATACATTCTCATAGGCAAATAACAAATCTCAGCAGAATGCTATGTAATTGTTGTTGTGTTCAGTCTAAGTTTCTCCATCTTTCTTCAATACTTCCAGTATTGAGACTAGCATATAAGGAGAAAATGGTTTGAACTGATGACATTTTTCCAGTTGATATGGCAAAAAAGTAGATCTTTAACAGAACCAAAGGATAAAAATCGTCTTTTTTCTTGTATTAACATATAACGATTGTCTCATACAAAGATGGCTCAGTACTCACCTCTCCAAATCCACCTTTTCCTAGCACTCGGTAATGCCTAAATGTGTGTTTGGTTACCGGTTGCCTGATTAACTAAAAGAAAAAAAACAAAAACAAACAAACAAACAAAAAAACACAGTTACTGTAACAGGAATTACAGAAGTCTAATTCCCTCCCACCCCAAACTGCATCTTGATCTTTACTTTCCTGTTCTGAACAGCATATGGCATCTGAACAAATATTGCATTGACCATTACAACAAATTGAAAGAGGTCAAATAAAAGGCAGAACAAATGGAAACACTCGTTCCCTCATGTGATCATTAAAAAAACAAAGAAAAGAAAACACCCAAACACACACACCAATTAGGTCCCAGGTTGTTTAAAGATTAGAGCAGTAAGGCTCTAAATGATGTAGTGTAGGGATGCTCAGGTTACCACTTCTAGTTGCTTCCCTCAGCTGTGCTATGCTGACACTTAGGCTGCTTTTTAATCAGATACTGCTTACAATGCAGTGTTTGAAAGGTAAACAATTTATGATTTTGCTTGGCTTAAAAAAAAAAAAAAGAAAGAATGTGGTGGTGCACAAGAGCAGTTCAGAGCTGATTGACCAAACTGGTCAGGTACTGATGTACCTGACAGAGATTCCCAGCCATTCTATGCACATGACTGCAGAATTATGTTTCCTTAAAGAGCGTTCAGTGTTAATGGACATGAATGGAACTTTTACTAGGTTAATTTAGTAAAGAAGTTGATTTGAGTTACATCCTTTGTTCTCTTCCTGTTTTTTTCTCCCAATTCAGTCAAGCAAAGGCACTGCGTAATAGGAATTTACCATAAAACTAACATTCAAACACCTTCATGTTGTATGATACCAAGAAATACTGAAGAAATATCTTGTTATCAACTTCAGACTTCTGAAAAAGTTTGGACATTGGTTCCATGTTGGTTTAGAAGCCCCCAAACAGATGCTGATATAAAGCTCTTGCTGACTTTCAATTATGGGAATCTTTGTCTCAGCCACCCTGAAAAACTGATTAGTTTCCCAATCACATAATGGGTTACGAAACCCATTAACCTGCTCCCTGCTCACTAATTAGACCATGTTTGAAACCAAATGCTGATGGAAATTCCAAAAGGCCTGATATCCCACTACATACTTGACAGCTAAACATATGGATATTATAATAAATGTGCATTTAAAATAAAAACAAAAACCCGCACAAATTTACTACCTAAAGGACTCCTGGACAGTAATGGTTACTGTAACAGGAATTCAGCCAGAATTCCTTCAGCCAGAGTATTAGCTCTAGCTATGCTGTCAATATCATCCTTTACACCATGTCTTTAAGATCAGAAAGTGTCATTCATTGGGGCACTACAGCGCTTATAGCACAACAAGCACAGTTGTCCACAAAACAAAATATAAACCTTATAAATGAACTTACTTTTCCAGCCATTTCCACTGTAAAAAACGGGAAAAATACACACTTTCTTGGTAAGCTTCAAAAGGTCTTCTGCTTAGGTATTCATGGACAACTCTAGGGATATGAAAATAAAAATCATATACAGACATTCTGATAAAGTAGATGCTATCAGCATTTTTAAATCAAACATCAGCAAAGCAGTAGGCAGAACATTATAACTCTGCTACCCAGTGGTTTCAACTTAGGTATCTCAAGGTGATAGGCTGTCACATAGAGGTATTCCTGTAAAAACACCTGTGAATGACAAGCTACTCCGACTTATTATAGTGACTAGAGGATTGACACACACATATATAAGTGTGTATATATATATATAGTATGGATAATATATATATAATGAGAATATAAATATATTTTCTCATTAACTGTCTTCAAACCCATCTAGCAGAATCATCTGAGAGTACTTCCTGGTCCTGGCACATTCAAATCTGAGTGCCATGTATCTTTATCATTCCCCGTAAGCTGAACAGGGAGGTGAAAAAGAAATTGAGAAAACATCATCACTCAAAAGGTATTCAGACATTTACTGGACAGAGGGAAGGGAATGATCTACAAGACAGAATACCCATTTAAGATAACTTTTATTTGACACTTTCACATGTTCCTTTTGATCTTCTAGTCTCAGGTTGTTGTACTTTGTGTTGCCTGGGAGATGACCCAAGCAGTGAGAAGACAAGCTGCAAACCTACAGATGAACATGATCGAGCATGCCTTGAAGAACCAGTCATATCAGGAACATAAAAGCTCTAGAAAGACTTGGAACACTAGTAAACATGCACAGTCCCTCCAAGAAAGCCTTCCCTGCTGCAGCTGTGTGAAATATCACTACACGACTTCAGAGCAAAATCAAGTTGTGCTACTTTGTTAACTCTTTCAAACAATTCTTTAATCAAACAATCCTTTAATCATCCATCCTAACAATATAACTGTTGGGCTGTGTGCCACCCAGTTTCAAGAGACAAGGTTTATAACATTTCTATTTTCAGGCTTCCATTTATAACTTCATATTTTCATATTCATATTCATTTATAACTTCATTTTTCACTTTCATATTTTCCAAGCACCATCATCAGGAAAGAGCATTCACCACCCAAAGGTAAAGAGAAATACTATTTTAAATTATCTGATAACAGATAAACCATTTTTGGACAATAGTATGATTATGCAATAGTATTATTTTATTCTTTAACAATTACACATCTTAGCATAAAAAAAAAAATCCACCACACACACCTCTGCAGAAGTCAGGCATTTAAACTTCAAGGGAATCTAATCTTTCCTAGTTTCTTAGCTATCAAGTCAAAGACCAAACACTGTTGCTTGCAATAACATACTTTCATTTGTCTCAGGCTCACATGAAGCTCTCCAGCAGTATTTTAGTATCATTCATTGTTAACATACCTGGTACAGTCCATAAAAAGATCTTTACATGGGTTCTTCTCCAGTCTTGCTTTACATTCATTTACTGTTTCCTGAGGTATTTCTGGCAAGTGCGCTGCAGACTTTTTATAATGATGAGGAAAAAAGGAAAAAAAAAAAAAAAAAAAAAAGAATTTTGCTGAGTCTTTTAAAGTAAAATAAAATCTGCTAATATGGGAAAAGAAAAAGATTTATCTAAGTAAAGGAGAACACTAGAAAAGACAGATTTAGGCAAAACTTATGTTTGCTCCCCATTACAAAGAACTGCATTGAAAATTATTGCATTTCATCTACAGTATTTTAGGGAATAAATTTGGCAACAACTAGACTCTTCTGCCTTCAATAGGCCTGCCACCACAAACACAAGTATCTCTTTGGCTTGGCAGAAAGGGAAGGAAGTGTGTGCGTGTGCAGGGGCGGGGGAACGCATTTGGGAAAACTGTTTCCAACCAGTTCAAAAAAATCTGCTCTTCACCAAAACTGCATCTTACCTTTGGGAGTCCCAAAGAAAGTATCAGCGGAGATGTAAACAACTTAGAGCATATCTCCTTTTATGGCATCTGGAAGGTATTCATTTGAAGTAAAGCTTTATGAATTTGACAAGAGTAAGAGAAACTGAGGATACTGATGCATAGAGAGTGTGTAATCCTACACACACACGAACTGCTATCAGATGCCAAAGAACAGATTCTTAAAAATCAATCAGGGAGATCTAATATATGCAAAAAGAGCAGATGTTATTGACCTCCATGGAAAAGGCAGAAAAACAACACGATCCAGAACAAAACACCAGTTCATTTTGTGAACGCCTGTAGCAATGTTAAATTTACAGCTAAGTCATCAAGGCCACATAGGAGTAAACAAAAAACCCCAGTCTGACTTTCAGGAATTCCTCATTCTCAGGTACAGAGACTGCAAAACACTGAGTTCCTTTGTTATTGAGCTTCTTTAGATGCAAAATGATAGCTTTTTACTTTCGACCAGTACTTTTAATTTTAAAAAGTGAATAAGTTGTCATACTATTAATTTTCAAATCAGAGAGCAAGCAATGTTTCTGCCAAAGCTGTCAGTTTCAAAATTTTAGAAGGCAGGAAATGTTTCCAGAAAGTCAAAAATAGAACTAAAGCTTTGAAAGTCCATTTACTAAAGGTGATGCAACCACTTATTCTTTAGGTCTCTTCTTATCTGACATTTACACCAAATTTGACAAAACATCTTACAATATATTTACCCCATTAGTGAAGTAGGTTTCTAAAACTTTCAGGCCACAGTCTATACGCTTTTCATCTGAAGATACCTCATATTCTGCCTAGGGGGATGAAGTTGAAAAATAAGTGTCATTTAGTAGTTTATACAGTGTTATTTGGCATTTTAACACATTCTTTAATGTGATGATAGGCATATTTTAACAACAAATACCAAGATACTCCTAAGAGAAAAAGAACTAAATGTTGTCATTGTCTTAAATCTATAAAAATTTTTAGGCTACAAAATGAAAAGCAGTCTAAAAAAAAAAAAGGCACATGGAATTTAACTTTCAGCAAATGCATTGATCCTAGCAATTTGAATAGTTTCAGTTGTAGAAGCTACATCTTAGAGATGAAAGTAGACATAAAAATTACAGTGGAATATTTATGTAGCTTTGTAGGGCAGAATGATACAGATTGTTTTTTTCTTTACTGTCACCTTGGTACATGTGGCATAAAACCATGAAGATTATTGTATTCTCATTCTTTAATTATTACTATTTCCTACAAGGCCATGTTGATTGAAAATTGATATCTCAATTTTCCTATTTCATTCTTTGAGGAAAACAAAACTGATTAATTACAAGGTTTTGTGAAGTTTTTGACGTAGTGATTTATGACAATTATACAACACAGAAACTACTGTGAAATAAAGTATATTGGGAAGCTTGACAGAGCTCCAGAGGTAAATACTTGAAAATAAAAAACAAAACAAACAAAAAAACAACAGGCAAATTGAATTAAAAAACTCCAAGGACTGGTTACCCATAACAATTTTAAGGAATACTCCAGATGCAGATTTCAGAAGTCTTGACTTTTACAGGAAAACATAGAATCTGGGGGAAGGATGAACTAGAAAAGACCAATCTCAAACAGCAATCTTTATTAGTTTCTTAAGCTGGGCCAAGTCAACCAAAACTTTCATTTTGTATCTCAAAACGTACATGCATGCATCTAGGAACAGAGAATATAGGGCAGACCTCCAGAATAGAGGACTATTTGATATAAAACAACATTTTGGCATCTTGGGACCAAAAAAAAAAAAAAGAAAAAAAAGTAAGAACCTCAATAGAAGCTCCACTTGACTGTTCTAATCAGTAGAAGTTATATAAAGAAAACTACACAACTAAAAACACTCCAAGAACAGGAAACACAGAATTCCAGAGTTTCATTTCTATGACTTACCAGCTAACACACACTCTCTCACTACTAACTCATCTACACCAACTTCTGGTGAAATATTATGGTATCAACCACTTCAAAGCAACACTGAAATCCATCAGTAATTGAAAGCAATCAGTCCAATAGTAAGGAATTCATCAGCACCTTGTGTGCAATCTCAGCAGGCCAGAACACAGATCGACCTCAGCAATGCCATTATCTGTAAGTGTTTTGACTATGCCAAAGCAGTCACTAACTTAAGTTTGGCATTCTGTTTTAAGCAGATATTGCAATTTAAAATGAAGTTTAAGTGTCGTTTTTGTCAACTAATTTCTATTACTCACGAAATTTAAGAAAGAAGTTTGAGTTGCCACCCATTCTCTTTCATTCTTGAGTAACCTTCTCCCCATCTACTGAAATGAGTCAGTAGATAGTTGGACTAAATTAACTCTTCCCTTTAAATTTCTGACCCTTGTATTCAAGTATTTCATAACTCTTTTTCTGTAAGCCACAAGCTGACTATGCAGACTGTAAGGCCACATCTTCTCAAGAATTAAAGCTTATGAGACTTTGTACTCAAAATATGAAGACAATGTAGCATTATACTGCCCTGTACGCGTCAGTTTGCCCTTCTGAAATAATCGTGCTGGTTCAACAGGTGAACCAGAACACTTTAAATTAAGACAAGTTCTTACGACTCCATATAGGAATTTTATGTCAGAAAGTTTATTCACAGAAACATTAAGCCTAAAATTAATTTTAAAAAATCTGACCAATAATCAAAAATAAGGAAACCCACAACCTTCCCCTTTATATGAATATCATGAATGGTCCCTCACAAACAAACAAAAAATAAAACACAACAGGCTTGCTGATGAGGAAGAGAAAAGCAGATCATCTGAGACGCATGCTAGGTATTATAACTCACTTCCTTCATCATGAGAGCGTGCAAGCCTGCAGATCAGGAGAGACTCAGATTAGAGAATATGTTAGGTCTTAAGAGACTGCTTTTTTTTTTTTTTCATGATTTCCAAGTATACTTTTTAATCACAATTTCTCAAAAGCAGGATTTAAAAAGTAAATTGTGAAATTGCCCCGAGATCAACTATCACAACTATGAAAAAATTTGTTGCAAACCACATAACAATGTAGGTTGTGTATTTCAAAACAATTAAAAATATGCAGTTAGTGTAAAACAACTGTTTTATTCTTAAATTCTTAATGCTTAACTAGAGACAATTCCATCGGAAAAAGGACATGTGCAGAGCAGAGACACACGCCTTACAGTTATGCCTAAGATTTTCTCCCTTTGTGCTAAGAGTCCATCTTCCTTATTTAAACTTTTAAGGATTGAACATGCATGCAAGAGTTGTGACCATGAAGGGTACATCCAGATTTGTCAGTAGTCTCTTCACTGTGTGCTGCTTAAAGACTTGGGTGTATATTCAACCCAAGATATTTAGCTTATCTATTTGGATTTTCATTAAGTCCATTTTGTGCCTCCAACTGACCTCTGGAATTTCATGGTAGAAACAGCTCTTGAGAGTCAAAAAAAAAAAAAACAAGCCTAACTGCACAAAGATTCATTGACAACAGCAGCTCACTGCTGCTAAAATTCTTTTTCATTCTATGCAGTGATGAATCTCTGAAGATGAGACATGTATTTCAACAAAGTGCTGTTCTTGATTCTAAAGATTGGAAAAAAAAAAAAACCCAAACACAAGGCAACAACACACCAACAGCAGGCAACACTGATGTTTATTTCACACAGAACAATTCCTTTTTACCTGATCAAATGTCTCTGTTTATCCTCTTGCAGAGGGAAGGTGAGGGGGAAGGACAGAGCAATAAATCAGTATTGTATCCTGCACCTTTCAGGGCCATTTTGCATTCTGAGGCTTTACATAAGCATGTAAACAGACATACTATCCTACTTGCATTCTCTGATCATTTGTTTCTTGCTCATAAATAATAATGAGAGTGGGTGGGACAGGGAAAAATGTTCTTTTGGCAGCAATCTCAGCCTAAAACTACATACTCTTTGATGAGTTGTGAGAGAAAAGGATGGAGGAAAAAGCTCCAAGCTACCATTCTGTTAAGTAAGGAAAAATTTCACCCATCTGCCATATCCGCCCCTCTTCCTCTCACTGCCTCTCCCTTCCCGGTAAAGTTTTGCCTTTGGATTTTTACAAAACATAGCTGTGCGCATGCTTCCCCCTCCTATGCAATTTAAAAAAGAAATGAGTGAGATACCAAGATGTAAGCATATGAAGACAAACACTTCCTTTTCCCTTGTCCTCTGGAATCTGGTTTCTCTCCTTTCCCCAGGAGGTTCTTTAAATTTTCCATCTCCATTGTGTTTTTTTTAATTAGCACATTCTGTCTAGCCTAGGGCTTCCTTGCAAGTTGCAACATTTTCAAGTCTGTGTTCACATCATAACTAACACTCACTGCACATACATCTTATTAGGCTCAAAGTCAAACACAGCCTGGTCTTTCCAAAATTCATTCTTTCATTCCCATCAGGACCATTTCTGTAGTTTTGACCACACCAAGATGGCAGAGATTTTATAGTAAACACTAAACATATTCCTTTAATTAACAGAGTCAGAGTTTGTTGACACTCATGAAAATGTTACAGCTTTATAGCTGGCGAAGAGTCAATTTCACTGTATTTTCATCTACGAATGTATTTTATAAAATGATTTTTTTTCTAACTTCCTAGAAAACTATTGCCTCCTGATATTCGCCCCCAATTTCTCACTGCTTACCACTGCATCCAGGAATTCAATGCACCTTTTCAAGTCTGGTCTGGAATCACAGAACTGCCTGAAGAGAAGTCTTCCTATAGGCTGTTTGTCACAAAGTTGGTTATAATCTTTTTCTGAGTAAGAGATCAGAAGAAATAAATATTTTTATTATTTATTTTTAATTATTTTTATTACTTATATTACTCCCATTTGAGAAAGGGTCAGAAAACGTCAGGCAGAACATCAAGACTTCATGTTAACATATTTAATAATGACATAAACAATGGATGCAGTGATCACAAAGAACGACAAAGGACTTTCAACCACAGTCGCCTCTTATATCTTATCACATTTATTATAAAAATAAAAAGTTTTCTAAATATTTAAGTTCCAGGTGGTGAGGGGAGAAAGGCAGCAAGAAAGAGAGGAAGTCAGATCAAGGAGGCTATTAAATAGCAGTCTCAAAGCAAACAAGATTGGTTTGGAAAGAAGGATTATAAGATAAGAAGACATTAAAATTATTAAAAGTAGTAAAGAAAGAAAGTGAAATATATTTCTCTTTCACTCAAGTTAAGACATGATTTCTTTTTCTAATTCATGGCTTTGTGAATTTTTCTTTTAGGATTAATTTAACACCAAAGAAGCTGCAATGCAACTTTTATCTTTTCATAAATTCTGTATTACATTAAAGGTTTAACAGTTTTTTTGATAATTAGCACTGAGAAGCAAGATAAAATAATTTTGGCTGACACCACCAAACTTTTCCCCACATGGACTATTTATAGCATACCTACCTATCGATTGCCTGATATCTTCGCAATAACTAATAGGTGGCAACTTCAGCATCTCTTTCCATTTTTTACTACGTCCACTCCGCTTTCCTAGAAGAAAAATATAAGTGCAATGTAATTTAATATACCGTGTCAGAATATATCCTGAACTGTGTAAAATTAGGTCACTTCTGCACAGATCTGCGTAGATTCTGGCTGATCCTGGCCACAAAGAAATGTAGCTACAAGTATATCCCAACCAGTAACAAACAGTGACAAAGAAAAACTCTCATATGAAACACTTGAAGAAAAATATGCCAAAAGCCTTTTGCAAAACAAATATTTTGGACTTCTGCTGTGCACACAAATATCTAGTTATTCTGCAAATTATGTACAAAACTACTACCAATAATATGAGAAACCAAAAGAGTCATATCTCAACAATGGTCAAGTACAGAAGACACTGAAGCTGAAAAACACACAGAACAAAGCTTTGAAGGCATTTTTGGGTAATCAAGAGTTTTGCTTGTTTGTTTTTTAAAGACAGAGGTAATAACAATAGATCACCACTGATGAATGAGTGGGCAGTACACAAATATATATCATTTATTCTAGACCACAGGAGGCATACATAAAATCAAACAAAATTTAACTGATTCAGAATCCAGATATTTTCATTGTTTGAGATTTCACAGCAGTAGTATTAAACTTATTAAAAGAAACTACTACAGTATTATCCCCATTGGTTCCCTCAAAAAATATTTGTGCTCCATTTTCTATGTTAAAATTACGATTTTATTACATTTACTTAGACCTGAAGAAGCCAATTCTCTTAGCACAGAACCTGTACACTTATCAGAAAAGAAGGACAGATACGGCACTGCATTTTTATATTATTATTTTAAACTGCAAAACATTTTAGCAGAAAGGTAGTTTGGTGCCATAAAATATTTTAAAAGACGATTTTACTACATGATATAGTCAGATGTGTTTCCACCTGACGGAACAGTAGCAGAGCACACAGAGACTTCTAAGTGCAGCCCAGCACTACCTACTGTTAACCACAATGGGGGAGAAAGGAAGGGAGTTACCCTGAGTAACCTGAATAGAAACTAAGCAGCAACCTTTATTCTCATCTCTTTCAGAATTAAATCATTAAGGGAAAATGAACTAACAGGTTCAGAATTCTAAAACATGTATATTTTCTCTTCACTCAGACATACAGCCCCTTAAGGAGCAGCACCACTGCAGTCAGAGCACTTCTAGCTGCGTGTACCTTAGAAAAGAGCATGTAAATTTTCATATGAGCTAACAGGAATATTGATGTCTTACTGTGCTGCTGCAAAAAACACTCAGCTCAGCTATGACTAGAAAAGTAAACAAGTACAGAATATAAAAACCTTAACACTTTGGTTTTCAGATTATTTGAACTATCATCTGCTCTCTGAAAATGCACTTCACCTTTGTTTCCTAGTGTTACTTGATAAGTCATTTGCCTTCCAAAGTGTTTTAGATTACAGACACTTTAATTTACTTCCTCCCTTACTTAGTCTCAAAATTTATCATGAGGTCTCAATACTTCCACATAATTAAAACCAACTCCTCCCATTTTAACAAAATGCTTTGATTCTTCCAACAGAATTGACAGCAATTGACAACACTTTCCATACATAACCCGGCAGCATTTTAAGTGAAAAAAGACAAGATATAGATTTATGACTAGAACAAGATATATGACTAAGAAAAACACTGGAAAGAAGCCTCCACTTTTATTTTGGTCCCTAAACTGTGCAACTAAAAAATCATGCCAAGCTGTAAGGGGCACAGAAGGTAAATTTCATTATTTGAAACTGCTCATAAAAGACTTATTTCTGCATGACACAGTACAATATTCACCAGTAATGATCAACCAATCCAAGTTGATATTGCTTTTTGGAGGGAAGAAATAAGAGTGAACTGTAACATAGGGTCTTCGTCACCTTCTGAAGCACAAAGAATGAAATACTAAGAGGCTCAGTAATACTTTGACTCCTGTACAAGATAGATTGCTGTATTTTGCCCAAAATAACTCACAAATTACTTGCTACATCACTATTATAAACTTAGTTTTACAAAAGAGACTTTTCACATACCATAACACAGTTGAATTTGCTATGTTACAGAAATTCAATAAAGACTACATAATTGTAATGATACACAAGAATCAAGCAACAAATCACGCTTTTTCTCCAAATTGACTGTTTAGATTTACAGTGGGGGAGGAAAAAAAAAAAAAAAAAACCCACACACACAAAAAAACACCCATCAATTTATCCCAGTAACGTAAAGCAAACATATGACCACTTCATTTACAGATACATTTCCCTTTTCTGGTAAAAGTTAGTGAGCAATACAATTTGTTTTTCAAATTATTCCCTAATTGCAAAATTCTTTTCCATTTTTGAGGTGGTTCAAAACAAGTAGCAAATCAAATTACAGTAAGTGTGGTTTGTAAGAGTGTCTTGATATTGATTTTGGGGCTTCTACTCTGGATCTCCTTATAAAACACTTCAGATAAAATTCTTCCAGAGAGACCAATAGGTCCCTTTCCAGCACAGCGGCGGCAAAGCCATTAGGTGAGTCTGCTTTATAGATGCCCTGTGTGTTTCAGATTAATTACCACTTTTGCTATTTTCAGATGTAATTGACCAGAACGAGGTCCAATTTGAAGAGACTCATCTTTTCTAAAAAGAAGGGTGAATGCAGTTACACACCATTATGATGAGGGAACGCTGCAATTACTTTCTTGAGCACATACAAGAATGTTACCTTCTTCTCTTACCCAAATTATGCCTTGGAGGCATTTACCTCTTGATATGTTTTTCCTTAAGAAAAACAAATCATTCATTGAAATATGGTATGCAAAAGTTTAAATACTTTTTTTTTTCATCCTTTTAAGCTTAAAAGCAGTGTTTGAACAGCTGAGGTAAGAACAGAAACAAATTTAGACAGCTGAGAATATTTTTCAAAGCATCATGTGGACAGCCCACAACCAACAATTATCTTCCTTATAAGTAGCATTTGAACATTATTACTCAGTCTCCCCTCAGATAAATAGAGATTGAAAAACCGGATTCTTGTCCTACACAATGAGAGCCCTTTCACTGAAAGTATCTTTTTTTTTTTTTGGCTAATAAAAGTACACAGACTGTAAGTGCTAAGCTTCACTGGATACAAACTGCCACTGAGGTGCTTGGTGGCTTCCATGCTTCAGCTTTCCTGCCTATCAACTGCTAAAACTGCAGCATCTATCGTTATGCTTCAGAAATACACAGCTGCGTAGCACTAGGAGCGCAGGATTGCTACATCACTCTTGCAAAACTGATTCCACAAACCAGACTGTCAGATACCAGCTGAGAAATTCACACCAGACCCCACCCAGAGGAGCTCTGAAAGCACTCGGCCACATCAAGAGAAGCTACAGCCTGACTGTAACTGCACCATCAGTCAAGAGGTTCAGCGAAAAACCTTAAAGAATTGACACAAAAGCCTATCATCTGCACTGAACTCTGCAAGAATAATCCAGGTATAAACTCCATCTCATAACATATGTGTCCCCATAAACCTGGAAAAGTTGCAAGTGAGCTTCCTATAGAGTTTTAAACATACATGAATTAAAATCTCTTCCTTCCACGCACAGCCACACTTCCCTTCAAGCCATTCATGGTAAGGATTAACACCCTCTGAACTGCGTCTTTCTGCTAGAAAGATATTTAGAAATACTCTCCACTGAGTAACAAGCTTTCCTGGTATGCTTTCACTGTGTAAGATGCACCTTCAAGACGCAACATGCTGCAGAATTAATACCTCAGCTCCTCAAATCAGAAAGGCAACAACAACCCAGTGCTAATTTCAGACTAGAAGACAAGTTCACATGTAACATTACTTTAGGATGGTTGCCTTGTTTCCAGTCCTAGACACAGCTTATACGGTTTTGATTTTGGCATCTCTGCATCCTTCTCCCTTGCACAGACCAACGCATTTTTTAACACCATGGTTCCTTGAAAAGCATGCATAAGCACAGCTTAACAACTATGTTTAAGCAAAGTGGCATCTCTTTTTAAGTATTACATAAAACAACCTTTTACAGAAATTTGATACATGTTGGCTGGCTCTCAGCAACCTACTGGAATTACCTAGCTTAAAATTCAGTTTTCAGTGTGAGGTAGATATATATTTTTTTGGTGTCATAAAGGCCAAAGCACTTCTGACCACAAACAGATATAAAAATGCAAATAGTTCAGTAAGTAAAACCAATAAAACTAGGACAGCTAGAGCTTTATAACATTTTTAAGAGAGTATTCATTATATTCTGAAAGTTCCTGAAGTGAGACTGAGGCAGAGTAATGTTCAAGTTCTCTTGACTCATCTGACTGTTACAGCAGTGATACCATAAGCAGTGTTAAACACTCCACATATTTATGTGCACATTTGGGCAGACTGTTTACATGCACAAACACTTAGTGTTTCCACAGCTAGAACCACTTGAACAACTGGTTTTTCACATGAATTCTATACAATACTATACTCAAGTAATCATTTGCACATTTTCACTGTGCAGACATGCTGCAGCTTATGTGTCTCTTCAGAAATTACGTATGAAAATTTTGTTTCACTCAAGGAAATGTAACTAATCTGAAGCAGAATTTATTACTCAAGTCTTGCAGTCGAACAAGATAACACCTGTATGCATTTTGTTTTGATATGGTCATAATCACAACCTGGTTTTACTAGAACATGCTTTACTAGAACAAAACAGCAAGAAAACTCCAATTTTACAGCCAATTTTTTGATGAGTAAAGGTTGTTTTATTCTTATGGTATGCACTGACCTCAGGACTGCAGCAACTAGAAGTAAAGTTCCTTTAATAGATTGTGAAACCTTCAGTTACAATTGCCACATTTGAGGTAACTGAGGCAGCAGCTTGTATCAATAACTAGATTTCTCAAGCTGTGTTTATTTATTAAAGCTAATTATTTAGATTCCAGCATGCCCACATGTATTCTTATTACAGTTTGTTAAATAAAGGACGAAAAAGCAGACATTGTCCATAATTCTGTACAAAC